AACCTGAAATAATTCTCATTTTTATTTCATAATATAGTGAACTATATGTTTATAATGAACAATGGGTATAGTGAACCACAAGATCAGCCCCATTGGGGTTCAATATTGAGGGGTTTTATTGTAGTTATTTTAAATTTCCTCTTCGCCAAAGGAAACCGCCCGAAATCAGACCTGGAGTTTTAATTCTGGTCAGACACAAAAAAGCCGGCAAACACAGGTTACAAACTGGACACCATAAAATGACGGAGGCTAAGAAAGTGGAAGATGCCGTTAAAAACGTCATATATGACTCCGAACAAGGAAGTAAAAGTGCACACATCACCATCCTAGTGAAATTCCACCAAAGATAGAAAATAGCGGTTTCATCCCAGGAGTGATGAGAGGACTTGGAGGGGAGGTCTGTCACATTTGTTTTAATGCGCATATTTGTTTAAAGTTTTGAGAGATTATGTAAATATGGTAGGGAATATATAAAAAAAGGAGATTTTTCAATTGTTTCCTAGCGTGATGCTACAGAAATATTTTTGAGATAAGTATAATGATCCAATACAGTATCGGAGCTCTAAAGAAACGGTCTTCAGTTAAAATTGGCGAAACCGCTGGGATGGTTCACCACTGATGAGACAATCACTCCCAATATGTTTTCATCGCAGTAAGGACAGTTGAATTTGATTTATATGTGATAGAAACAATAGCGAGTTAATATTTTCATTTTTTATATATCGATAGCGCATTAATAAAAAAAAATGTCAGAAGTGGGATTCGAACCCACGCCTACAAGAGTAGACAGCTACCTGTACGCAGCGCCTTAGACCGCTCGGCCATCCTGAAATGTGAGTTGGGTCGCACTAAGAAGTATTTAATTAATTTTGCAAGAATATCCTTTTCAGCAGGTATATCGTATGTATTCATATATTTGGTTGACATCATTATGGACATACTGAACTAATGCAAGCTTGAGATGATATAATTCAATAATATATTTTTTTAAATTATATGTTATTTGATATGATTTCGAAAATGAACTTCATTTCTATCGAATCATGTCAGGAGTTTCCGTAAAATCGATCTATATATAAAATGTTCTGTGTTTTTTTTTTTTTTTGTGAAAACTCAAGAATACCAAAATTTATCCAACCAAATTTCTATAATATAAATTTCTACAATTTTTTACAGGGCATGGCGACTTTAATACATAAGTTTGAATATATATGTCTCATTAAAAAAGAATCACTTGAGAACAATTTTAAATATCTATAGATTTATAAAAAATGTTTTCGAAGATGTTCATCATTGTTGAGCTAGTAGTTAACAATATATTTATTATCGTAAAGATAGAGGCTGACTGGCCAGCATTCATATTTCTATGAAAATAGACACTTCGGCCAGTTTGAGTTTTTATTTTTCTCATCGTTTCGACAAAAATCTTTTGTCTTACTCAGGAGAAGTAATGAAAATGACGAACCAAAAGATTTTTGTCGAAACGTTGAGAAAAATAAAAACTCTAACTAGCCGAAGTGTCTATTTTTCATAAAAATATTATATTGTTTCAGGTATGACTGCTTGAATAAAAAATAGAAAAAATTAAGAAAAATTTTAAATGATATCGATACGTGATACTTGATAATACATATGAACATACTTGGAAGATGTAAAATGTATAAGAGTGTTTACAAAATGAGTAATAAAATCCACAATATCCATTACATAATTAAGTATTATTTATTGATTAATATTTAAAACTCTCATTTATATGAATATCTAAATATAATAAAACCTGCAAAAACGAATCTGAGATATAGCGAACCTTCCTTTATAACGAACCTGAAATAATCCCCAATTTTATAAATTGGCTATAGTTAACCTCAGGTTTAGTCCCTTTGGGGTTTTCTATAAAGAGGTTTTGAAAGCCATAAATATTCAACAATTTTTATATTGAATCATGAATATAGAGAGGTTTACAGTACATACAAAGAATAATGTGAAAAATAGTATAAATGTGAAATTGAACTGGGATGAGGTGAATAAATTAAGAAAAAGGCATCTCCTTATCGTGCAACTAATTACATTTTTCTTAATTTACAAGGAACTGTTTAACGTATAATAAATTTATTATCATGTTTATATAAAGATCGATAGGTATAATGTTTAGTGATTTATTGTGATTTGAAATGTGGTTAGTATAATATATATATAACTTTATTAGTTAAAGATTTGATAAATAAGTAACCCATAAGTCAGTCCAGTTCCACAAACAGAGAGTAAAGCTCCAAGTTTCAGTTCCAGAAATTCCCCAGCCATGAGAGTAACTCCAGGATTCATTTGTTCGAAGGAAACTGCGTAATATCGAACCTCAGGGATATCTTTCGTGATATACCGTGAGATGATCATTGATATCTTCTTGATTTCTTTGTTCAGAATACCTCCGAGGTGAAAGAGACTGATAAAATAAAAGAATAACAATATATTCCAGAATATGAAAAAATATATATTCAGAGTATCAGATTTATAAACATTGTTTTCTAATTTAGTCAACCCAAACAAATTTATAAAACTGATCAACACATTTCCAATAAATAATATCAAAGGAATGGAATATATTTCATTGACTTTCAGTATAAGTTCTTTTAAATTTTCAAATTTTCTTAAATTCTGATTAAAACATCTGGGACTTGTTGATATATGAATAGCTTTTCGTATATATGTAGATATAGAAATCAATTTTAAGATAATAAAAATCAAAACAAGAATATGTAAAGTATTTACAAAATACTCGTAGGTAAGAATCAAATTTAAAAATAAATACTTATAACCTCTATAATATTCTATTATTATAGTGAATAAGAATATAAATATAAAAATACCAATGTATATAACAAATGAAAATCGAAAATACAGTATAGCTCGAGGCGATGTTTCAATTGGAAGGGTTTGTAAATCATTAATTAATTTTTTGATAGATTTGTAGTTAAAATAAATTATAATATTGGACAAAGAATAAATAAATAGTTTTATTAATTGTTTGAATAATAAAATATATCTATCTTCTTCATATTGATTAAACATGTAACATTTTATAATCCTTGCAGAAATGAATAAAAGATATTCTACCCACCAGTATATTTTCCAGCCAGAATTTGGATTGATTAAAGCAAAATTTCCAGTAGAATAGCCAATAATTATAAGATATCTTGGGAAAAAAGAAGAAAATATATGCGACGAATATGGGATGATCATTTTTTGAAGTTAGTGTAAATGTTATTTCTTATTTAAAAAAAAAAACTATAAAACTTGCTAAATATGTAAAATGGCTTCAAGATGTTTTGCCAAATGAATAGCTCTCAACAGTTTTTGATCAATGAATTTTTATTTGGTCGCTAAGCGACCAAAACGTACAAACATCAATTGGCATGATCACATTTTCACTGTTTACCCATTTTATATATACAAACAACAACAGAAAGGTTTAATAATATTTTTGGTCTTATACAGATTCTCCGAGCAGAAATGTAGGGCACATGTAGGGGAATAACAGTAATAATACCAGTGATTAGAAATGTTATTTACAGTATATCAAATAAAGGGAAAATGAAGGAAGGAAGGACTTAACATAAACTTATATACAAGCAATCGAGAACAAGCAGTTCTGTTTCTAAAAGTACAATTATTAGTAGAATTAACAGAAATATATATAATTATAAGGCATCTATATAGATTTATACATGGATGGATCAAGGTTAGAGGGTTGTATAATGTAAGAATATAAAGTCTTAGTGGATAATTTATTTTTTCATTCACCAGTTGTTCAGTAGAAGCCACCGGATTCATTAAGTTATTTCGAATATCACTCGCAGCTTTATAAAATTTCGTTATATTTAAAAGTAAAGCTTCAGTCAGCCAGCGTAGTCCTATTTTATATATAAATTTAGATCTTGGTGCTCTTTCTTAAAATTATTGAACCACAAATATGAATTTTAATATCTTATTTATTATAATGGTAACTATTTTTTCTTAATGAAAAATATTGATACTTTAAATATATCCTTTCCCCCTTTTTAACATGTCAATGCAATAAAAACCTTATCATTTTAAATCAGGAATAATTGTAATACGATATATTAATAAATTTTAAAATTAATATTTAAAGGTTTATGATTTAAATAAAAACAAATATGTTTGTTTATTATATTTACTTCTTAAAATCTATAAATACAGTGAACCCTTCTAAAACAAAACTTCCCTCATAACAAAAACCTGAAAGAATTCCTATTTTTATATTATAATATAGTGAACTATATGCTTATAATGAACAATGGGTATAGTGAACCACAGGATCAGCCCCATTGGGGTTTATTTTGAAGGGGTTTTATTGTAGTTATTTAAAATTTCCACTTCACCGAAGGAAACCGCCCGACATCAGCCTTGGAGCCTTAAATCTGGTCAGACACCAACATGCAGGCAAACATAGGTTACAAACTGGACCCCTTAAAGTGACGGAGGTGAAGAAAGTGGAAGACGCCGTTAAATACATCGTATATGAGTCCGAACAAGATGGTAAAAGTGCACACATCATCAACCTAGAGAAATTCCACCCAAGATAGAAAATAGCGGTTTCATCCCAGGAGTGATGAGAGAACTTGAAGGGGAGGTCTGTCACATATTTGTTTAAATGGTGCATATTTGTTTGAAGTTTTAAGAGTTTATGTAAATATGGTAGAGAATATATAAAAAAGGAGATTTTTCAATTGTTTCCTAGCGTGATGCTATAAAAATATTTTTGAGATAAATATAATGATCAAATATAGTATTGGAGCTCTTAAGAAACAGTCTTTAGTTAAAATTGGCGAAACTGCTGGGATGGTTCACCACTGATGAGATGATATCACACAATATTTTTTCATCGCAGTAAGTACAGTAGAAATTTGATTTACATGTGAAAGAAACAATCACGTGTTAATGTTTTCATTTTCTATATATCGATGGCGCATTAATAAAAAAAATGTCAGAAGTTGGTTTTGAACCCACGCCTACAAGAGTAGACTGCGACCTGAACGCAGCGCCTTAGACCGCTCGGCCATCCTGACATGTGAGTTGGTTTGCACTAAGGAGTCTTTAATTAAATTTGCAAGAATATTCTTTTTAGCGGGTATATAGTATGTATTTATATATTTGGTTAAGATTATTATGGAGATACTGAACTAATACAAGCTTGAGATGAAAGAATTCAATAGAAATTTTAATTGAATTATATGTTATTTGGTGTGAATTCGAAAATGAACTTCATTTTTTCGAATCATGTCTGGTATTTGGAAAATCGATTTTGTATATATATATATATAATTTATTGCATTTTTGAAAGCTCAAGATTACCAATATTTACCCAGCCTAATATATGCTATATAAAATATGATTTTATTTTAAATTATAATTTCATAGAATCAAATACTCTGCTAAATCGACCGCCAGAGGTCACTCTTCCCCTATAAAAACTCGTTGTTTTTTTATCCCGATGGCCGGCTCAAAACTTTTGTAAATTAGAGTAAATATTCTTTAGTTGTACCTTTGTTTTACTCGCCTTAAGCCAGGCAGTACTTTAATCAAATTATGTTTTTCATATATATTCCTTAGCAAAATAAAGAAATCTCTGATCAAGACTTTATATTTTCAAGATTATTATTCAACCACGACCGCACCACCATAGCTTAATTCTCAAGATAACCAAAATCAAGATAATCGCAACAATTCCAAAATCAACAGAAAATCTCATTTCTATTCATTTTTATAACATATATGTGGTAATTTAAGAATCATAAACACCTGTGTAAAAACTCACCACCCCTTCTTACACCCCCTACTGTAATATGGACTTTTAATCATGGTACACAATCCTCCTTTAATCAATTTAACTTTTTATGTATCGTTTTTATGTGTTCAATTAAACAAAGAGGTACATCTAGAGGGAAGGTAGAAACCAAAAGGGCTTACCCCGCAAACATGAGGTCAACCGTCGCGACACTGCGGCGCCAGACGTCCGCTGACGTCAGGGCTTATTCCGCAGCCAATTAAGTCAACCATCCCGCCACGGCAACAGACGTCCAATGACGTAAAAGGGCTTACCCGCAGCCAATGAGGTCAACTGTCTCGACAATGCGGCGCCAGACGTCCGGTGATGTAACACTTGAGCATATAAAAAGGGCTTGCCCCGCAGCCAAGGAGGTCAGTCAGTTCAGCAGATGCCAGATAGCAGACAGCAGCAGCAGACAGATCGCTAGTAAGTCTTTGTGAGCAGGGTGGATGGCCCGCCGGCCGCTACTTGGTCTCTGCGTTCCCTCTCTCTGATGCCTCGGATTCCCCTGTGATTCGTCTCTGTGTGCTTTACTACTCACCACCATCATGCCTGCGCAATCATCATCTTTCCCCACGACTCAATACAACAAACCAGACCACCGAAATACCAATATATTTAATATACAATTTTTTTACACGGCATGGTGACTTTAACACACATATATATAAACATAAATGTATCCTTTAAAAAAAGAATCCCATGAAAACAATAGTAAATATCTATAGATTTATATAACAATTTTTACGAAGAGGTTCATCATTGTTGAGCTAGTAGTTAACAATATATTTATTATCGCAAAGATAAAGGCTGACTGGCCGGCAATCATATTTCTATGAAAAATAGATACTTCGCCCAGTTTGAGTTTTTATTTTTCTCATAGTTTCGACAAAAATCTTTTGTCTTATACTCAGGAGAAGTAATGAAAATGATGAACCAAAATATTTTTGTCGAAACGTTGAGAAAAATAAAAACTCTAACTGGCCGAAATGAATATTTTTCATAGAAATATATTTATTGTTGCAGGTATGACTGCTTGAATAAAAAATCGGAAAAATTTAATAAAGGTTTTTAAATGATATTGATACATGATATTTGTTAATACATATGAACATACTTGGTAAATCTAAAATGTATAAGAGCGTTCACAGAATGAGTAATAAAATCCACAATATCCATCACATAATTGAGTAATATTTATTGATTATTATTTCAAATTCAATTTATAGGTATATCTAAATAGAGTAAAACCCCGCCAAAACGAATCTGGGATATGGCGAACCATCCCTTATAACGAACCTGAAATAATCCCCAATTTTATAATAGCTAACTGTGGCTGTAAAAAAACATGGCTATATTGAACCCCAGGTTCAGTTCCATTGGGGTTTGCTATAATGAGGTTTTAAAAACCATAAATATTCCACAATTTTTATATTGAATCATGAATAGAGGGGTTTACAGTACATACAAGTAACAATGTGAAAAATAGTATAAATGTGAAATTGAACTGGGATGAGGTGATTAATTAAGAAAAAGGCATCTCCTTATCGTGCAACTAATTTCATTTTTCTTAATTTACAAAGAACTGTTTAACGTATAATAAATTTATTATCATGTTTATATAAAGATCAAAAGGTATTATGTTTAGTGATTTATTGTGATCTAAAATGTGTCAGTATAATATATATATATATATATATGTTATATTGAAATATTTTATTTAAAAATGTTATATAAAGGTATTATTTAAAATGTTATATTAAGATATTATTTGAAATATTATATTAAAATATTTATATTAAAATAATATTTTATTTAAAATTATATTTCATCGATTCAAATACTCGGTTAAATCGACCGCCAGAGGTCACGCTTACCCTATATAAAACCCATTGTTGTTGTTCCCCGTTGGCCGACCCAAAACATTTGTACATTATGTAAATACGCTTTTTATTTTTTTTTTATTCTTACGCCTTAAGCCAGGCAGTACTTTAATCAAATCATGTTCTTATATATCACTTTATCTCAAATAAATCAATATCTGATTAAAACCATTTTTATTATTATTCTTTCAAGATTTTAACCACGACTGCACCGCCATAGCATAATCATCAAGATGATCCAAAACAACAGAATTCTTATCTTTTTTTTTAATATAATATAATATATATATATATGTGGTAATTTAAACCAACAACCCCATATTGTATATAACTTATAACAAGATTTTCATGTTGTATAATAGAAACACATCTGTAAAGTATTATACGCATGATTGACATCTGTCATTACCTCATCATATGTAATGTACTTTATACAAACTGAGAATAACTAAATAAAACTCTGTAACAGATAAAAGTTGAGCTAGGAGCGAAAGATGGGGAGATAGAATGACACACGAAGGATGACACAACAAAGAAGGTAAGAGACTGTCCAGATAGAAGCAGAAAGAGCGAAGATGGAGGAGCAACCAACCATTCCAACGAAACGACCAAGCAATCTCCCTCCAAAAAGAGATATTTACGAAAGAAATGACGTCCCAAGGGATCTCCGCAGACCCGCTAACAGCTCGCTAACGTCAGGAGCAAGCTGACCACCCCAACGACAGTGCCGAAATTCCCGCACAGGTTCGTATCCTGTCGACTAACTTTGTGATGAGTGATGGTAGCCTCTTGTAGAATCCTGTCGACTAACTTTGTGATGATGAAGTGTTGACTCTCGCTATACTGTGTTGACCGAGAGGAACAGTCAGGATGGGGAGTTTTCCAGTACCTCTCTGCACCTTGGAAGACCTTTTACAGTTTTCACAAAGTACAGGCAGTCGTGGTCGAGGCAGAGTGGAAAGCTTTGGAATGTCCATACACAAAAACGAAGACACAGTTGCACTAAGAAAGTTCCGTGAACAGATAAAAGTTGAGCTAGGAGCGAAAGATGGGGAGATAGAAGTTTCTTGCTGGTCTACATGATGGATGAGGTGGACCTGGGGTACAACCGACGAGAGCTCGCGCTGAGGGTGAACTGACTGTATTTTTGGCTAAAGACGGGGCCTTTTATATATTTTCCGTGGCAGTTTCCATATTTAGACCTTGTTGTTTTGTGACTTCCATTTATCTCGAATTTAGACGTTTTTGACCTTTTGCGTTAGCTCAACTCTTAATCTATTACAGAGTTTTATTTATTTATCCTCAGTTTGTACAAAGTACATTACATATGATGATGTAATGACACATGTGAATCATGCGTATAATACTTTACAGATGTGTTTCTATTATACAACATGAAAATCTTTTTATAAGTTATATACAATATGGGGTTGTTGGTTCAAATTACCATATATATATATATATATATATATATACTAGCGGACGTACCCGGCTTCGCCCGAGGTTTTACCCGAGTAAAGGTTTGTCTAACGAACATTTGCCCGTGTTTTACCCGAGTAAAGGTTTGTCTAACGAATCTCTCGATAAAGTGAACATTTTTTCCCGGTCCCTTGAAAAATACTCGATAAGTTGAATAAATTCAATATTAATCGGTACCCGAGTAAAGGTCTGTCTAACGAACATTTGTTAAAACAATTCTCTATAGACTTATAAAAAGAAATAGATATATTTTGATAATTTGAAACTGATAAAGTGATCATTTTTTCCCGGTCCCTGTGTGCCGTGTCATTCTGAATTTTGTCTTTCCTAATTTTCTACATTACAAAATCATCGTTTTATCTAGTGAACATTTTTTCCTGGTCCCTTGAAAAATACTCGATAAGGTTGAATAAATTCATGGTCGTTTATGGAAGATGGACGAAGTTCCCGGAGGTCATCTTGGGCAAGCTCCCGCGAGGCTTTTTTTTCTTGTCTACTTGGCATAGCTGTGTCACCAACTCTGCCCTGATTGGTCGGTGGGTACATTGACTGTCGGCCGGCGGCCGGGCGAATCCATTCTCGCACGGGGTCTGCCCCACTCCAAACTTTTGGCAAAGCACTTTCTAATATTAAAGATTATTGTCTTAAATAATCTTTAAGAACAAAAAGTATAATAATTGAACGATAGGAAATTATAGTAAATAATTATACTAAACTAAATGTTGTAAAAATAATTATACATGAAATTTGAAATAAGTTTTAGAAAAGTTATCGTTAAGTCCACGGGAAAAGATGTAGCCAAAACAAATAGGTTTTTAACAGTGACACGTGAGCACCCGCCTCGTGACGCGCTCCTCTCTCCTAACATTACTCCCCC